CTAAATGTTTTATGTATCAATAAATTTGCCTTTCGAGTTTAATATCGATACTGTAAACAGAATAAGTATGAAAAATATCTGATGTGGATAACACATGAATTCCTTGTACAGCCTATTAAAATTAGACACATTTTTTCCTGCACTTCATTTAAACTTATTTCCCCGATTTTCATTAGAGATATATTTCTAATTCAGTCGATTCAGTTCTTACTTCGCGGCAAGGCAAAAATACATCAAAACTTAAACAATCTTCATTAAAAACTGTAAAATAAAATACAGAAAACATAAAGCACCAAACGCAGTTGAAAACAGTTATTTTTTTAAAAATTAAAATTAGAGTTTCTGCGCAAAAACAATCAACTCGGCTAGCGAGCAGGAAGACAGAATTTCCAGTGCACAAAACTGAAAGTTAACATTTGGTACCACTGTGCTCAAAGACACTGAAGTTTGTGCAGCAACTGACTTTACTCTACTGAGAGTTTCAAATGCAAACAAATGGTAACGTATTTGGAATGCTTTAGGAACATATGCTATGGTAAATATTAAAAATATTCCAGCTTGCAATATGTTTGGTACATTCTACAAATAGTCCTCGAAAATAAAAAATAGAATAAGCATGGAGTATTCCAAATCACTTGCGAATGTTCCAGGAATGTTGTAGGATATGTGGAATGAAAATGCAATATTTCAGGAATATTACGATAATACACTGGTTATCATAAATTAAGGGAAAAACACAAAAATCACGATTACTGAAAACGTTACATGTAGAATTTAATGAAACTTACCCACAATATACAACACATAGTAAGGTATCAAATAACATGAAAAGAAATTACCAGACAAATATGGTAGTATAGAAATTAGCACATGTATAAAAAGAACAAATCGAAGGTGTCAGTTTGCTATAGGAAAAGTACCTTCAATATGGAATATGATCGCCTCTAGAAGCAATACAGCACCTGCAGCGATGTGTGATGCTTTCAATTATGCGGTCTATCAGTTCCATAGCAAGCGAGAGCCATTGCTCTTGCAAAGCAGTTGCAAGCGCGAGAACGGTTTGAGGGGACGGATTGAGAGCAGCTAGACGTCTCTCTAAAGCATCCCAAACGTGCTCGATAGGATTCAAGTCCGGGAATCGAGCTGGCCACGCCATGCGCATAATTGTTTCCTGTTGAAGATAATCATCTATGAAGCGAGCCCTGTGTGGTCTTGCGTTGTTGTCCTGTAACAGGAAAGCATCACCTATTGCACCCGCATATATGGGTTCACATAAACATCAAGGATGTCATCTCTATAAATCTGAGCATTCACGGTTCCCCTTGGAAAGACATAGAGGTCTGTGCGTCCACCCAAAAAGATGCCACCCCAAACACAGACACTGCCCCTTCCGTATGCATCTCTTTCACGGATGTTTGATGGATGATAACGGGTTCTAGGTTCTCTCCATATCAAATAACGCCTACTATCGCTTTCTAGACTAAACCTGGCCTCATTAAACCTTGACTCACTAAACCTGGACCGCCCTCCATTGATCAGGCATCCAGTGGACATGCTGTCGTGCCCACTGAAAACAATCCCTCTATGGCGTGACTTGAGCGGCACACAAATGGCTGGTCGCCTCGCATACAGACCACCTTCGTGAAGCCTTCTACGCACGGTTGACGTTGACACGAACCTTCCGGTGGCTGCAGCAAGGGAGGATCTAAGAAAGTCGGAGTAGCTGTTCTATTCCTGTGTGCAGCACATAATGTCAAATATCGGTCATCGGCGCTCGTCGTAGTAGTTGGCCGTCCTTGGCTGAACCTCCTAGATGCCGAATCTGTGGTTTAAAATTGCCTCCAAAGTCTATGAATCACAGAAGGACTCACATTTAGCCATCTGACCACTTCTGTTCGACTTTGTCCTGCCTCTAGTCTCCCAATGGCTCTCCATCGCAGTTCTGCAGGCAAATGATGCCTGGAGGTCATTGTTACGAATTGGCTATCTCAGATTTCTAATGTTACTGCCACAGTGAAATATGTGGGCTTGTTTTCAAACATGGATTTTTATGCTCCTCGCAGATGACGTATTCCGAAAGCAGCGCCACTAATTTGCATATCGCAGTTTTACTCAGCTACTCTTACTTGGAAACATATTCAAATGTTAAACGGTTTGGCTTATTTTTGAAGGAGTTATAGCTATTTTTGTGATTTTTCCTTAATTTATGATAACCAGTGTACATTATTGTTGCGTGTAGTAGGAGTATGAAAATTACAATTAGGTGAATTATTTTATTGCTTCTATTAAATATCGCAATAATATCATGTTAAAATATTTAATGTTTTTATGGTTTTTGTCAGAATTACTTTTGGAGATCATCTGGAATTTATTTCCGCCCTAATATATTTGCTAATAATAGTAATACATACTTTCCGATTCCTTAATCAGATGTACAGATTTATCACTCAGAAAAAAACAACGGCAGCTCAATATAGTGATAGATTTATGGTCCTGGTTTCAGGGTATGCGCCTGATATTTTGCGAGTTCCTATCCCAGGAAATGAAATTATGTTCAAGTTCAGCCAAACTGTGCGAAGGGTCGACAGACATGATTTGATGTGGTCCTTGTAGAGATGCATAAATCTTGTTTTTGTACAGAGGCTGTTCACATATTTTTTAGACGATGTCTATTGTATTCACAAAACTAAATTACATAAACTTCTTGTGTTTTAAATGTTCTATTTGACATCCCTTATTCTGAACTATCTTTCGACACCGAAATGTCCAGGATAATAATGCCTTTTGAAGTGGCAGACGAGATATTCTATCCCATTCCTCCCGAACAGCTTTCCAGAGTCCTGTTAGGGTTTTGGGACAACGTTTGGATAATGCAGTTTTTAAAAGTCCGAAAGCACAACAATCCATGGGTGACACTTCCGGAGATTTAGTAGGGATATCAGTGAAGGGTATGGCCTTGATATCAGTTTTTTGTTCCATTTCTTTTAGGAAATTTACAGTGGATTTTGACGTGTGACTGCTAGCTTTGTCCTGATGGAGTCTCTCAGATGGATGGCGCTGTGGATAAAGCGATGGTATTCCATTCAGAAAAATTGGCGATAAAATATGTTCCTGATAGTATTTGGAGTTAATCTTGATATTTTTTTGCACTCACTTTATTAAATTTATTATTAATTTATTATTATTATTAATTTATTATTTTTTTACTCTCTTTAACTTGCCATTATAAAGAAAAACCAGCAACAATCATGAATCCCTTAGGAAAACTTTCTTTCGATTCTTTGAACCATTACCTTAAATTTTTTTCTCCCCTTTTATGATAATAAATGGTTCTTTTATTCCTACAATCATTTAAATACACCCATGCTTCATCTATTGTGACAATTGTTTTCCGTTTTTTTTTTTTTTTTTTTTTTTTTTTTTTTTTTTTGTATAAGTGTTTTTCATATAGAATTCTGCAGCGTGTCCTGGGTTGAGCGATATGCTTTGGAAGAAGACGATGCACATTGCGTTTTTTTCGCTTTCTTAAGATTTAAATCAACGCTTATAATTTTTTTACAGTAGACACCGAGCATTTTAATCATTTTGAAACTGTCCTTTGACTAGGGGGATTTTCTTTTTAACATTAAACAACGTACCTTTGCAATAGTCGAGGATGTTCGTTTTTTCCTTGGATACTTGTTTGGAATTTTTGTTCCACTTGGGGGTCCAATTTGACTTTTTTTCCTTTCTTGTTGATGATATTACCTATCGAAGCTTTAGATATCACAAAACCATGACTCTCACATCGTTTTTGGATAACGGAGTATGCATATTTCTCTTCGGAAAGAGCGTAAATGTAGCCTTCGAACCACTGCTTTGTTAAATTCGCCATTTTGAATAAAAACAAAACTTTTAAGCCACAGACGATAACTTTGACTTTATTTACATAAATTTTAAATTTGTTTTATTTTAAAATGTAATAGATTGATTAAATTAAGCTATAATTCGATGAAACAGTTTCAATATTTCTTACATTTTAACTTCTTGTAGTCCTCCTTGAAAATGTAGTTAAAGAAAATTACTCAGATAACAAGAAATATGGAAATTATGAAAGTTTACAGTCAAGATAAAACCGTCTTTAAATGTGTTTTACTCAAAACTGTATTTTTTAAATTTGATGACCAATGTATTTCGGAAACTAAAGGCATGATTTAAAACTAAGCAAAACCAAAGGGGGTAATCTATAATTTTAATAAAACTCAACATTTGCACGTAGTTCGTATATTGTAGAAAGACGTAGTTTTTTCTTCCTCTCGAGCAAAAGACTTTTTCAAAGGAGGGAAAAGCGGCAGATGCGTTTGTATGAAAATCAGTTGGTGAAACAAAGAGGAAAAGTGTATAGTGCCATCTGTGGAGGAAGTTAGAAGTATAAAAAACTAAGATATTAAATTTTTAAAGCGATAGGACGAACTGAATTGAACTTAACGTCCTCAATTAAAAAAGTTAAGTTTCTGAGAATAGAAAAGTCATCAAGGAAATCTATTTCACCAAATGAAGAAACTTTGCGTATTTTATCTGAAGCTTAATCTTGAATGATTGATATAAACTGGCAAGAGAATAAAAATAAGTGTAGAAACAGAAAGATTCATCTGATGTTACGGATTTATTTCCGTTTTATATATTGTTTGGTTACATATAGCCATTTACGTATTTTTCGTATTTCAGAAAACCAAACATTAATGCATTCTTCTAGTTATAAAAGGAATAAATTTTTACTGAAATTTTGTTTCTAATATCTTATTTTCCAAGAAAATGTAACAGTAATCTTATTTTATAATGGTTTGGTGAGGTAACATATTTATTCAAATAACTTCTAAAAGATATATTCAGACATAAATTTTACTTCTGAAATGGAACTCAAATAGTATTAACTTTTGCATGAATAAATTACGCTTCAAAGTATTTCGTATATCTTTACTATTTTGCTTAAAAGTGAAATCAAGTATTTTATTTTTCAGCACTCGTCGAGGAAAAGATAACAGACAACGGAAAAAAGGTAAAAGTTTAAATGCATATATTTTTACATGATTTACATATATTTTTAACACACGAAAGAAATGAATATGTGTTAAATGTTAAAAAATATTTTGCTAAAATTTTAAGGAAGGAATTTTTGAAAAATTCTTATCCTAATATAAAATTCCTCTAATTTTGAGGAAAAATATTTTTAAAGTTTACTAATTTTTTAAAATCATTTTCATAATTATGGAATTTATTATTATATAATGTCCTGATTTTCGCAAAATATATTTATTATACAGGAGGGTTATGATTAAAGTTACCCTTTCTAGACCTACGTGTGTGTGTGTGATTATGGCAAAGGCTCGAGGACTATCTGCCTAAGGGAAGGGATGCCTTCGTGGAGGACTTTCTAAGGGAAACTGGCTCGTATACACGGTACACATGGGGAAAACCACGAAAACGCCCATGCAGCCAGCCCGTTCGTTTGATTCGAACCTCATTCTAGACCTACGTATAGCCCGTTCTGTTCGACCAACTTCGTTGAAATTTGGTATATGTACACTGCGAAAAAAAAATAGAACAGTTCCTGTATATCCCGTTCCTACTGGGGCGATTGACGAGATTCAAATTGCGTTCTTCATGTCTCGAAAGCGCGACTTAAGATATATATTACATTTATATATATTCTAACATAGGTATTTTGACACAAAATCGGATTTTTTCTGAAATAACATATCAATTTTTTTTCCATATTTCGATTCTACGACTCAAATTATGCCTAGATATTAAATTTTGTCATTTTGGGGGGAGAAATTTAAAACTATGCTACTTACCGTTAGATAAAGCATCCTTACAAATGGTCCTAAAATAAATGTGTGAAAAGGTCCTGCATTCTTTGGCTTTTCAAAAAGTAAAATCTGCATTACAGGAAAGTCTCGGTCCCACCAGCAGCCGTGCGGTGAAATCACTGAACACTGGTAGTTCAGTCCAGGGCTGGAATCCCAGCGAACGGGCTGGCTGCATGGCCGCTTTCGTATTTCTCCATGTGTAACGTGCATCTGAGTCAGTTTCCCTTAGAAAGTCCTTTACGAAGGCATCCCTCTTCTTGAGCAGCCTACTGGCCAAGCAGGTAGCCAACTGCACGGATATATTAGAACGGCCAACTAAACTTCCTTGATCTCATATTAAGCGAACAACTTTGACAAATCTGCTACAAAATTGGCAAAGTAGATGGACAGAGGCAGAGGTAGGACGAAGGACATTTCGCCTACTGCCAAAAGTTAACATGGAAATAAAGACCCACTGTTCTAGCCTAACACAGTTCTTGACAGGTCATGGACCATTCCCAGTATACCTGAACAGATTCAGACTTAGGGATACTCCTTTCTGCGAATGCGGAGAGGAAGGCGACACGGACCATTATTACTTCCATTGTGTACATACAAGAACCTGGCACTTGAAGAAACCAGCGGACTGTGCCTGGACAATGTGGACGACTAACACACTCAAAAACAGAATAGCCCTTGATAAAACAGAGAAAATCTCAAGACACTGCCTAAGCAGAAACAACCGTGGATAATATTATAATGTTTTAAACGTTCAGAACTTAAAGCAGATAACCAGAATAACACTTAGTGCCTTGCAATTATCAATATGTAAAAACTGTTATTAGTATATAATATTCAACCTTGTTACTCTGGAGTCTTCCCCGCCGTGATGGTATATAATTCCGTTTGGTTCATGTCCGTGGCCGGAAGCCATTATAGCGGTGCACTCACTCACTCACTCTTGAGCAGACAGCCCTCAAATGCTTTGCCATAATCAAGTCAAATAAACCTAAATAAACCTAGAAAGTTTCGCTTTTTAAATATTACTACAGTTTCTGAGGCAGAAATAATACATTCATGGAAGCTTTAACACTGGCTATCATATAATTGTTGAAGTAATCGATTTGATGTTTACAGTAAACGTCAGGGAGCATTAATTTCCATCTCAGAAGTTTCTTCGGTTATAGATCTACCTTATTTAGATGAAACACCATGTTAAGATACAAGAATTAGCTGATAAGCTTGTAAAAACCCTCAGAATGTGCCTCTGATTTGGATATTCAAGTAAAAATCTCAGTACAACGAAAACAATGTCGAAGGGAAAATGTCTGATAATAAAAAATGGATGGGAAAATGTCTGATGAGAGATAGATAAATTGTAGACATATAGATTCTTTGGAGAGACATATATTTGAAAATTTTCCTAAAGTTAATGAAAAGCGATGTTTTTTTCAGTAAATACTTCAACCAAATTGTTACGAACCACAGACATTTCCCATTATCGTTTCCTGTATTAAGAGTTGTACTTGTCAGTGCAGAAATAAAGTGGCAGATCTGGAGCATTTTACATTAGCAAACTCTCCATTTAGACATATGGCCCAGGAATTATATAAGGGAAAGTGACTCCATCTGCAAAGAAAAAAATCTCTCTAATATAAATATGCTAATGTTATTGTGTAATGTTACTTATTCTAGTGTTAAGAAAACGTATTTTCATTTCCCATTTTTATACAAAAGATTAGTAATAAAGAGGTGTCTGTTGCGAGGCCAGAAAAGCTTCCAGGCGATAACTAATGAAATAATTTGATTTGAATGTGTAACCGATCCAACTGCAATCTAACTTCAACTCCACGAGTTGTATTTAAAATGTCTTCATATGTAATGAAGTGTAATTTCAATAACAACACGTCTTCATGTGTAATGAAGCATGATGCCCAGTTTAACCTAAATTGTTCCGCTGAGCCTTGTTTAAGCCTTAACGGCCACATAGGTGGAGTTTACCAGCCTTCTATATGTTATCATTTTCAATTTGTAATATAATTTTATTGTAACGTTTAGAAATACTTTAAATGAAACCCATTTTCAATAAATCAATTTCAAAAATCCTTGAAAATATTGCTTAAGACTTTTAAATAAAAGCATATATTGCAACATCAGTAAAAGATAATTGTAGCATTTAATAAAACAATTTCAAAAATCCTTGAAGACAATTTTGAATAAAACCGTGTATTGTAATATATGAATGAGAGCATATTTCAAAAAGAAGTTAAACTGCTTTATGCAGTTATCGTGATACAAAAACTGCGAAATATTTGCTGTAAAAATGCCTAAAATAAAGAGTTACCTGATCAATGGGTTTGCAAAGTTGCATCCAAAAATTTTACATCTTGCAAGTGGTCACATGTACTAATATTATAATCTTCGGTAGTTTCCATGTATTGGTGGATTTCTACATGTTGTGAAAATTGCCTCCAATAATTTTACATCTTGCAAGTGGCCACTAGTATCATCTGACATTATATACTCTTTGGTAGTTTCCATGTATTCGCGGACTTCTACATGTTGTGAAAATTGCCTCAAATGATTTTACATCTTGCAAGTGGTCACCAGTATTATCTGACATTATACTCTTTGGTACTTTTCCATATATTGCCGGATTTCTACATGTTGCGAAAATTGCCTCCAATAATTTTACATCTTCAAGTGGTCACCAGTATCATCTGACATTATACTATCAGGTTCAATGTTTCTTCTAACCTTCTTCGGAAACATACAATGACCTGACTAGAACAGAGAGCTTACTAAAGCTATGTTCACAAATTGTAGTAAGTAGACAGGATACCGACGAAGGGTATACAAAACCCTTTATTTTTCTTTATATACAATGACTTCCGTACTTCGGAATACAATGACCCTCCACTCGGGGTCTAACGTAAAAGATATCAAAATAAAACTAAACTCTAATTTAACTTTAGAATAATACACGTGGAAGATTGGCCTTATAATAACAGGAAGCGTATGTAGCACAGAGACTGTGAACACACTACAATACGTTTAATTTTATTAAGAGGATTAAAACCTCTGGCCTGGAAGGCAAATAGCAACTGCGTAACTTCTAAGGTAAGCGGCCTGCTTCGAACTCACTGCTTCCTCTCTCTTTCGCTTGGCAAAAAGGCCACACTTAAATACTTGGCGTTCGCCAGACAAACTTTGCATAAAATCCTTCACGCTTATAATTCTGGCCGGAAGTAGAAAATAAGAAGTGATAGTAAAGATTTAAAATAAAATAAACGTTAGTAAAACTTAAGATCCTTACATACTTCCCGCCAGAGTTAATTAGTTTGAAACTGAGGTCTAAAACGACCTTGTTGAAAACTTTTAGCTCTAGAAACTAACGCGAGGCCAACCTTTTACAAAAAATGCTTCGCTAGAAACTAGAAAATTTAAAAGAAAGAAATTTGTTACAATAGCAGCTCCCAGGATCTACAACAATCTTTTTTTTTTTCATCTGTACTGCATCTAACCAGGAGCTTTATTCAATTCTGGTTCCTTCCAGAGATCTGGAAGGAAAACTAGTTTAATGAAATGTTACAGAATGACATTGCAAATAACATATAGAATATACTTCTCTTAACATTCTTATTTCATTCATGACTATTTTAATTATCTCTCCCCGTGCTCTCTGACATGTGTTGTAAAAGAACACCAAACACGAATGTGTTTCTGTCTACGTGTGCCACACTTCCTCCTACAATCAAAACACTAACGTGTTAAAATTCAACATAACGAGACCTCTTAACACACCCTACTTTCAACTCTAAACCCTGAGGTACTATTCTAAAAGTGGCTAACTCTTAAAGTGTAGCGTCAGAGAGCCTAACTACATCATTCAACCTTTACCACATATTCGTCCATGATTTAAATCTTTACAGTCACACGAATAACAAATTTTTAACATTACTTTCACTTTTACCATATCACGGTATTTCTTAAATTTAAAATAACAGTTCACATGTATATAAGAACATATCAACATGCCGTTAATTTTACACATTTGAAAACATACATTAGTAGTACATTGTTAACTTCTATTCTTTTCAAAGCAAGTGCCAATTCTTTCTACATTGAAATAATACTACATTTCAAAAAGTCTTTCAGACTAAAACTTCTTTCTTGCTAGAATGTTTTAAATAAAATTTATACAATA